TGTTTTTTTATAGGGGGGTGGAGGGGGTTTTAGGGGAGGGAAGATTTTTTTTTTAGGGAGGGGTTTAAGGTGGAAAGATAGTTTGAGGGGGAAAGGGGGGTTGAGGTATTTTATGTTATATTGTTTCCATTATGTTATTAATTGTCATGTTATTCGAAACTTATGATCTTGTTTTTGTATTATCTATCAAATGTAATTTTGTATTCTATGCATTTGTTGAATGGAAGTACAATAAATAATATTAAAAACAAAAAATAGATAGATAAAGAGAGATGGAGAGAGAGGGGGAGGGAGAGAGAGAGAGAGAGAGAGAGAGGAGAGAGAGAGTTTGTTATAAAAATCTACATAAACCATAACGACTGCAAACAATAGAGAGATGACCCTCAAGATTAACAATTCATTACAAAAAAATACTTGTCTGTTCCAGTAATTAAAATTCAAAAGTAATAACAATCCCAAAGCAATATCAATCACTGAACAGTTATCAGATATGAAGCGTATTGTCTATTTCCGTGCGTGTAAGGGGAAAAGGGTATAAACAATGAATCTGTACAAATAATTCTCTGAATACATACAACAAACAGGGGGTATTATTCTATTTTTAACTAAAACCATAACCAATTATAATGTCTAGCTATCAAAAATAGTCAGGCAATTCCATAATATTTCGAATGACGCGTTTCATAATTCGGCTTGAATTTAACACCTATGTTGCAACCCATGTGTTGAATCTTCGTTGAATATGAGATCTTACCCTGTTTGTTCTTCCAATATGTGGCATGTAACATACACTTCTCTTTAATAAACTCAAGTTTAAAATGAATTTTTCTAAGCAAATTCTCCCTCGTTACTATTCCGCTTTTCTGAAACAACTCCCCCCTTTTCTTTGTTGACAAAATTGTAAAGACTTTCGAAATCAACCTAGGTATGGCAATTTTAAAAGCGTTGCCCATCACATTTTATATTGTGCGAACAACGCAGTGAATAATACGTAATCCTAACATAATTTCTACACGCAGTACTGAAATTATTGACAGTATATGCTATCGCTTTTTGTCACAATGAAGTATATCAAGCCCTATTCTTAATTGGACCTCCAGGAAATTTACATTTCCATGCATATTTACTAATTTTACCTCGTATTTCACATTCCATTCTATCCTGCTAACAAAGGAGTGAGCGCGTTGAAGCTCCGTGTTGACCAATGAGTTCATTGTAAGCAGTCAGTCATGCATGACGTAACGCGATCGATAGTGGCTCCTATATTAACATGATAATTAGGCACGAGTAGTTGTGAAGCACGCGAGTATGAAAGGGCGAGAATACTAAACGCTAATTACATAGTTAACACAAGCCCATCGGTTCTCATTTATCTCCTTATTTATCTCTTCATATATTCCTGTGTTAGGTTTCTTTCTATGTCTCTCCATCTTATTGGGGGTATCCCTTCTATGCTGCAAGTTTAACGTTGATCCAACAATGAGGATTTTTGTACGACGATGATGATGTTGGTGATGATTTATTTTCTTGAGATGAATACATGATATAGATTCAGATTTCGTCAGCTCGAGCCCGACTATAAATCTCTCTCTTCCTCTCCCTCTCTCTCTCTCTCTCTCTCTCTCTTTTCTTCTCTCCCTCTCTCTTTTTATCTCTTTCTCTCTTTCTTTTCTTCTCTCGTTGTGCGCTCCCTTCTCCTTCTCAACCTCTTTTTATCTTTGTCTACCCTTCTCCCTCTCTCCTACCCTCAAATTAATTCTTCCCTTCCTTTCTTTATCTTGAATTGTACTATCATTTTCGAATATTTTTTAAATTCTCCTTTCCCTATAACAGGAATGTTGTAGAAGATATCATTTTGCAAACACATAGTTATCTCTTACATGGTGTTTGTTATTTCTCCTTCTCTTTCCTGAGGTTTTTCTTTCTCTTTCATCGTTTCTTTCTACCCCCTCTCACTCCCGGTCTATTAACAAACCAGAATTGTTTTGTATGACGCAAAGATACACTCGTGAAAGCTGGGAAGATAGGGGAAATTCAAAGGGTGATCAACCTCTGAAAGGTTATCACTATAATCTACAAAGGTATGAGTATAAACAATTTCTTAGAAATAGTGCAGGACATTGTCCTTTCATCCGTTGTACTTAAAATTCTATCTACACTTTCTACACGGATTCAACTTAACGTGATGACGAAATGCATTTACTGATTTATAGCTCGTTATAAACGAGTTTGTGCATGCCCGCTTGTGTAACAGAACGCATTAGTGATAGCCCGTTTCAAAACAGCGTGTTAAAACGGAAAAAGATGAGTCATTCAGAGACGCAATTAACGAACGTTGAATATGAAAAGCCATTAAGCGTTGCTTCGGATTTCAAAGATACAAGTACAGCTGGTAAAATGATACAACTGTATACTAAAGTAATTAACTTGAATCCCATTTCATCAGCGCTATCAACTGATCGTTTAAGGTACAATTTTCCCATTTCCTCCATCTAATCGAGTTCATTTCTTACCTTTTGATAAATTCCTTGTTATCACGATACAGAGTTTTTTAAATTTCATTCAGACAGTTAACGTTAACGAATTATTTATTCGTAGCGTTTGCTTTTTTATTTTCTTCTGGTTTTATTTTCTGATTCATGCGCTTATTTGCTTTTTGGTTTCCTACATTCATGTTTAAAGAACACCGCTTTAACTATTCAATTGTCCTCCAAAATACAACAAAAAGTTAACGAATTAATTCTATTTACGTGTTTTAAAGCGTCTAATTAGTTGTACATGTATTAGTAAAACACACATATTAACCCGAGCCCTAACTTGATGGGTATTCACTTTCTACATGCTTAAAGAACAATAACAAATTGCGTATTCAATGACCTCCAAAATAGAAACGAGTAATAATATTCACGAGTCAAACTTATATATGATATCACTGAAATACATATAGTACATGTGAGTCCACCACCCGTACGGTTCTCTATTATTTGTATATCTTAAGATGAATTCGTTAACGGCTTTCCTTTCTCATGAAAAAAGCTTTGCCTTTTCAGTATTCGTTGTTTCTATATTTATACGTCCATAGAATATTTAATCCACTGACCTTCAAAATGGAGATGAACAATAGTAGCAACGTTACCACACATACCTGTATACACATCGCGCCAAATTATCTACTGGTATCTATCTATTCAAGGCATCTAACTTTAGGCGTAAAAGTATGAATAAAACAGAATGCGATAGAGATCAGATTATAATGTTATTCATATGTGATTGCTGCGAGGGCATTTGTTCACACGGATGGTATTTGAATTATATTCACGCTGCTTAGTTATACAGATAAATCATTATAATGGTAATAGTAGCATGCCGATTCATACATCACAGCCATTAGATAACTCGGCTGCATGCGCTTTACAAAGTATTTCATTATTAAGCATCATGTGGGTTATTAGTATTGTTATCATTGTTATTTTTAATGATGATATTAATATTATTATTGTTATCATTATCATCATTATTATTGTTTTCATTACTAATAGTATCAGTATTGCTACCTCTATAATCATTGTCATAATTAATATAATTATTATTATCATTAGTAGTAGAAGTGAAGTAATAGTAGTAGTAATAGTGGTGGTAGTAGTAGTAATAATAGTAGTAGTAGTAGTAGTAGTAGTAGTAGTAGTAGTAGTAGTAGTAGTAGAAGTAGTAAGTAGTAGTAATAATAATAGTAGTAGTAGTAGTAGTAGTAGTAGTAGAAGTAGTAGTAGTAGTGGTGGTAGTAGTAGTAGTAATGTTACTAGTAGTTGGTTTTAGTGTAGTAGCATAATTATCAAAATGATTTCAGAAGTAACGCTGTGTCTTCTTTTATAGTTTGTGATGACTTAGCTCTCGAGGTCCACTTCTGTTTCTGTTTTTTCTTTGCTATCGAAAGGAACTTAAGGGTGAACTTTCCTTTAATACCACGCTTAAAACACAGATGAAAAATCTGCGAAATCCTGACTACATACCTTTAACAGAGAATGGGTAACTCTAATATAAGCTCCTAGAAGCAATGTAACTATTCAGCAATTTCATTGTATCTTTCTGATTGCAACCTTCTCTGAAAGTATGTTTATTTTATCCCCACAATAGATCGCTACAGTAAATCCAATACACGTTCCTGTGGTTTCAAATCATGTTGTTAATGAATATGTCACAGGGATAGTCACTTTCATGTATATTTCACATGTATTGTAATTTGTAGGTTTATTTGTAATTTTTTGTTTTGTTTAATATGTAGTTGTTTATCATTGTATTTTATTTGTTATATCGCTTAAAGACTTCGATGAAAAGCGCCTTATAAGCACCGTTTTTTAATTACAATTTTTATTATATTGGGTTTTTTCTTCATTATTTTTTAGATTTTCTCCAGGAGAATAGCTTGGTGCGGGTGTGTCAATTCACGGTGGTTTGTCTTCTAGAAACCAATTTCGCAGAAGATCTATAGTAGGAGCGTGAGATGAAAGTTATTTGTACTTACGTGCACCGGGTACATATCCCGCAGAGGAAGGTGATGGTGATGATTGTATTCCAGCCGACAGACTGCCGGAGGGCCGGAGGGATGATGGTGATGCTAATAGTCCTCCTGTTGCTATGGAGACGTTTGGAGATGATGTTGACCCGGTCGGATGAGTATCAGAGACGGTTGTTTCGAAGATATTATCGCTGGTGATATAAGATCCAGTGTTGGTGGAAAGATGGGATGATGATACATTGAAGTGCTCCTCGGACATTGGCGGTGTGGGTGATGATGGTGATGATGATGGTGATGGTGATGGTGGTGGTGTTGGTGATGATGGTGATGATGATGGTGATGGTGATGGTGGTGGTGTTGGTGATAGTGATGGTGATGGTGGTGGTGATGGTGGTGGTGTTGGTGATGATGGTGGTGTTGGTGATAGTGGTGGTGTTGGTGATGATGGTGATGGTGATGGTGGTGGTGTTGGTGTTGGTGATGATGGTGATGGTGATAGTGGTGGTACCTGGGAAGATGATGATGCGGTATAATTGGTTGTTGAAGGTGAGGTATGAGGAATGAATGAACTGGTAGCTAATAAAGCTGGAGGATTGGAAGAAGGAATGCTAGGGTTATTGGATGAAGAGAGATATGATGTTGATAAGGATGGAAATAGAGCTGATGGTAACGATGGCATCACAGATACCACAGAAGATGAGGGAGATGATGAGAGGGTATTCATCGGTGATGGGTTTCTCAGGTTAGATGAGGGAGAAGTTGAAAAGGGGAGTGTGGTGTGTGTGTCTGATGACATAAGAAATGTTTGGAATGACATTTGTGATGCTATTATCGTTGGTGTAAATGTTGTTGATGATGGTGACAATGATGATGATGAGGAGGAGGAGGAGGAGGAGGATGAAGATGATGATGAATGCAATAACGTCCAATAAGACGACTCCATGCGTGATGTTTTTGTCACAGAATCCACTTGTGCTGCAGTAACAGATAGAGTCGGAGATATATTCCCAAATGCTGATGAGGAACTCCCATAGGAACCTGTCTCAATTGAAGCGCTATGTGAGGCATACAAATCCTCCACAGATGATTCTTGTGTCACTGAGTCCATGGCTTCAGCTGACTCTGGGCTTCTTTTTATTCGCTTCCTTTTGTTTTTAATCCCATTTATCTGTATCAACTTCGAAACCGCCAATGTAGACGAAGATGGAGACAAAGTAGAAGAAGGCAAACTAGTCGACGTCCCACTCGATGAAGAAAGCGACCAGGGCGAGTTATTACCATTATAAGAAATCAGATGCAGAGAAGAAGGATTAACCTTCATGAAGGCACGAGATGTTTGAACTGAAGCGTCACTACGCAAGGTGCTTACATTAGAGACGTCATTCATGACACTTCCCCGCCGACGCCCGAGCGAGGATTGCCTCTCTCGACTCGCTGACAACCTACCGTGGTTGCTCGTACCCGATAAAGTCGAATAAAGAGACGAATTTGTATCGGCATAACTCTTTGTTGCTGCAACCAACAACGATGAATTATTCAATCGTGTTACTGATGAGATTAGTTCAACATTTGCAATAGAAGGCGATGGTTTCACTTGAAGGCTTGCTGGTATAAATCTCAAAATAGATGAAAGAGCTTGTGCATTTGTAGCGTTCAAGAGTAAAGATTCCTCAGTGGTTGCTGATCGAGTTGAGGAGGATTCAAGGTGGCTTTGTGAAGCTAGGAAGTAGTAAAGAATTGATAGATTCCATAGAGTCACTTGGATGATCAGCCATTGTCTTAGAGACATCCTAGAGAGAAAGAGAAGAGATTGATAATGTTGTGATGGTAAACGTACTCCTGCCTCAAAGAGTGAGTGATTGGGAGGTCTGTCATCGCGATAAATGAATAACACTACGCAGCGTGATAGTAGGAGGGACATAATGATCAATATCTACCCAATGCACCACACTCACACTCACTCACGCACTCTCTCATTCTCATTCTGTCGGCCTGCTTCTCTCTCTGTGTTTGTCTCTCTCTCTCTCTCTCTCTCTCTTTCTCTCTCTCTCTCTCTCTCGTGCTCTCTCTCTCTCTCTCTCTCTCTCGCTCTCTCTCTCTCTCTATCTATCTATCTCTTGCAATCTGATTCTATTTATCTCTTTTTTTGCTCCCCTTTCTCTCTCTCTCTTTTTATTCAATTTCGTTTTTTCGTTTTCGTTATTTTTTTTTCTGTCTCTGTCTGTCTGTCTGTATCTCTATTTCTCTCTTCCTCTCTCTCTCCCTCTCTCTCTCTCTCTCTCTGCCGAACCCTTAACTCTCTTTATCGCACTCTTCCACACACACTGCCTCCTGTGCGATTGCTCTCTCTCTCTCTCTTTCCCTCTTTTCTTTATCACCCTACTTCGCTTTCTCTCATACCTTAACTCTCTTCCTCTTTAGTTATATCAATATATTCATATCCGTCATACATGAATCCTGTCTAATTATTCCGTACATATACCCTAATCAAATCACACAATATCAGAATATACATTTCTAGTGCATTGTTGGACCTGCCATAGTCCCAAAAATGTATTACTCGCCCCCTGTCGGTCGATAAGCGGTGTACCTAGATATCTTTCTTTTTTGTATGTACAGTACTGTTATTCTGTTAATGCCTTAAAAAAGGGTAATTAACACATTGTTTATTAAGAATGCTACTATCTATTTTTATACATCCTCGACTGTGTCATATCCATAAATATGAAAAATTGCCTGTTTCCAAAATGTTAATCTTTTCCCCCTTTTCTTTCTCTGTTAATCTTCAAAGGGCTATGCAGCCTATCGCAGAGATCTATAGAGGAAGATTACCAGTTGTGTAGGCACTAAACACCGGGCTTATATCCTACTCTTAGGAGAAGTGTAGCGTATTTACACATCCAAAGTGATAACACTGCCTTAATTATTGTAAATCTCAATAGAATTTTTATGTTTACAATTGCAAACTTGATTATAATCAGCTTTTTAGAGAAATATAAAAAAAAAAAACGAAGAAAAAAAAAACAGAGATACAGACGGGAAACGAGAATAAAAACATGAAACACGATTATAAATCTATTCTAACAAAAAGCAACCTTCGATAATGTCATTGCCCTTCTACGTCATCTATTTAAATGTTCGAGCATTGTAGAGACATAATGAAATCTAGCCATTATTTGTTTGATGGACTGAACAATAGGGTATTGAAATTGCCCTTGAGTTTTCTCGGGGGCAATTGTTGATATTGTGTCAGAAAAATTGATGATAAAAAAGGCGCGATCACAATTCATCTGTTATTTAGCTATAGAGGGCGGCAAACACAATTTCTGTTCACAAATGAAAAGTCAGTATATTAGTTTTTTCTCTCTCTCTCGTTCTTTGTCTCACTGTCGCTCTATCTGTTTCTCTCTGTCTCACCCTCTCTGCCTTCTTTCTTTCTTTCTCTCTCTTTCTTTCTCTCTCTCTCTATCTCTCACACCTCTTATCTCTATTTTACTCTCCTCTTTATCTTGCTATCTCTTTCTACCTTTCTAAACTTCCTCTCTCCTACCTATGTTACCCTACATCCCTATTGTAAACGCAATCTGTGTTCATGCTCCTGTAATTTAAAGCTAAAATTGAAAGTCAGGAACTCAATTAAATTCACCCCAACTTTGAAAAAGAGGACGAAACATGGAGTATCCTGTGAAGAGAGAGAGAAAAAAGCTCCCTTGCGGATGTGACTGACTCGTGGCAGTCTGAATTCTTTATTGAGTGTGTGTATTTCTGAATATTTGATACGTTTACCATATTATTGTTTTGTGAAGGATAGATTTCAGTTGGTATTTGTGGTTGATTTTCTTCCCATGGTTACTGTAATAATTCAGTCTGATAATAAGAACTAAACTATCTTTAGAGTGATGTGTCAAATACGTCAGTGGTCAAAGTTTTGAAGGGAAAGTTGTTATGAATGAAAATCAAGACAACCGGTAGAATCAAGATGATCCGGCTCAAGGATAAGGCTAGTCACGAATCAGCCCTCCCTATCTCAATTAACATTAGCAAACGTTTTTCTTTAATGTGTAATATTTCCATCACTTCCCCTCCCCCTTCTCTCTCTCTCTCTCTCTCTCTCTCTCTCTCTCTTTCTCTCTCTCTCTCTCTCTGAGCACTGTTTATTTTCCAACTCTCTTTTAAGTCTTTATTGATTAAAATATTTTTTCCTTCAAAATATGTTTACCAATATCTCTCTCTGGCACACACATACACACCCGCACAACAATCCACCAGCCACCCACCCACACACACTGTCTTACATTCACTCCTCTCTCCAACGTCTTCCCCCTTACCACCCCTGTCTTACGCTCTTTCATTCTTCTCCTCACCCACACACACGCGCTCACACACACGCACACACACATAAACGCCCACGCACACACATACGTACACGCACACGCGCACACACGCACGCGCACTATGCTCACACACACACACGCCCACACACACACCACCTCTCTCTCTTTTGATTTCTGTCTACCTGTTTAACACATGTCCTCGTGTATTAATCATCTCCTTCCATCTCTGAACCAAGACAATCCTTTACACTGAAATAGGATGACACCCAGCTATGTTCAATTTGTTTTAAGAAGTTGAAGTATTTATTTCTCTACTACAGACAAGAATCTACCACTCTGGAAATTATAACTTCGACGATAGGCAGCTATCGACGAATCCTGGTCCTAACTATCTTGTCATATACCGGTGTAGTCATGGAAACCATAGGTTGATGGGTTTAGATGTTCTCTCCACCGGCGCTGCCTGTAGTATCACAAATAAAGAGACGAAGAGCGATTAAAGCGTAAGAATGACTACCGTGGGATGGTTACATACAGATAAATGCGTATTAATAGCTCCTTTATACTGCGCAAGTATCCAACCAAGTGGATGCTAAATGTTCCTACAAAGTACTAGTATTATAATACTGGCTTTATCCCCCCCCCCCCCCCCCACTCCGAGAACGGACGGACCCCATGCGTGTTACCAAAATGTCCGGTAAAGGGGTACTTTTCGTGTGACAAATTCCAGCCCGAGAATTGTAAAAAAAAAAAAAAAAAGGGGTGTATTAACTTTTTACCCCTTTTTCATGATTTAGGGGGTCTCCAAGGCAGGAAAAGCCCACGAAAAGCCCGCGAAAGGGGGGTTCGGAAATGTTGGCAGTCCTCAGATAGGGGGTGCTTTCAAAAAGAGGGAACAAGCATATGCGTACCCTCAATAACACTGAGTGGGGGGGGGGGAGCCGGGCTTTATCCAAGCTTACCTTAGGCGCTGAAAACATTCAAGGAATAAATTCATATTAGGTTCCTATTTACTACACCTGGGTGCCAAAGGACATTAGTGGTTCGGTGTACCATGTGATTCACATTCCGATGGCATATACCCTGTAGACTACAGCAAGACGATTCTTTATAGATAAAACTATAATTATCAAATCAAATTCATTCATTCTTCACCGATATCGTGGTATTATATCCCATTATAAGATGATGACGTGGATCCTAATCAAATGATTGGTTGAGAGCGTACACGTGACCAGGCTTTTATTTTACTTGACACGTCTTTTTTTTTATAATTACCGGTCATTACCAAATGTTAATGACCGGTCATTAGTCAAAACATGTTATAAAACATCCTTTTCGAAAAAAGAAAGAAATATCTTATAAAACAAATAATACATATCGTTTTTTCGGGCATTAGTAAAATTACTCACACTCGGTACCTTTAAAACAGTGCATTCACCCTCGGCTGTCGTCTCAGGCATGTTAGAATGTTCCAAAGGTACCTTGTGTGGGTAATATGCCCTCACTACTGTGTATTATTTGTATATTGTTTCTTACCAGCGCAGAAAGCGAACTTTCCATTACGGCGAGAGCACCAGCAGGTCTGTGTCTCACTGAACTGGGACTCACAAACTGAAGAAGAAAATAAAGGACAATTTTTACTCGAAGGTTACATTAAATCACAACAAAATAGAAGGAAATATATATATTCCCTAAATAGGATTGCACTATGATTGTGACTTAAGCATATATTCTTTTAAAAAAGTTTAATATAAAACTCTTAGAAAATGATAGTAATGTATGAATTGATTATCATCACCATTATTGTCATCATGATATATATTTAATAATGATAATAATAATAGCTCACATTAATAATGCGCCTAATACTTTGTTTCTAGGCGCAACACATACTATTACCCCAGTCATCGGATCCAGGCTTACCCGCAACACAATGTATGCACATTTTCCACTCCCTGGGGAGCATTCCAGTCAGTCGCCATTTTACAAACGCCACTTGCCACACTTTATCTTTCGCATCCTACCGTGTGCCCATTTAACACGTGGGTGGAGAGTGGCAAATGTAGATCAATGTCTTGGCAAAGGACATTAGTGAGAAGATTCGTTAGTGGGAATATTTGGGAAGATTCATTAAATATTGCTAGCAAACTTGTTCAAATGACTGTCTGAAGTGATCTGTCCGGATGATGATGGGGGTATTGTAATACTAATACTAGTGCAGTTCTTGTATAGCGCATAAAACGTTATGAAATAACATCTCTATGCGCTTCCAAAGAGCTTTGGACTTTATTACCCTAGCTTAAGCTCCAGCAGCCGTTATCAGCGCACAGTGCATTTCAAGGAATAATCCTACCAGGTACCCATTTACCTCACCTGGGTTGAGTGTGGCAAATGTAGATCAATGTATTTCCAAAGGACATTAGTGCCGCGGCGGGACTCGAACCACGGACCTTGTGATCGACAGTCCGATGACGTATCCACTCGACCACAACACCTCTACATAGTAAGTAAGTGGGCAGAGGGGCGTGGCCGGGGGTGACACACCTTGCCAGGGGACTTACCCTTGTACTTCCTCATG